TTCAATATACGCAAGTACGCACACAAAAATGTCCTCTTATTTTTCAGAGAAAGGAGCCTATCTGACGAGGAAGTCATTTATTTGAATGAAGATTGTTTCGCTAATTCCTTCATGTTAAATATGTTGTGCATTCACTGGTGATTATTATACCTATAATATCATTTGTTTATGTATTGGCGAAATAGTTGATTTAATTATGGTATATCTGTTTTGTATTATTCACTAATGGTTATTATACAGATAATATTTTTATATATTAACAAAATACCTAATATAATTATGACATATCTGATTTGTACTAATGCACTTGTCATATACTAATTGTTATGATAATCATAATATTTATTTGTTGTTGTGTGTTAAAAAAATATGTTTGAAATTTCTACATTCATTAAACGATTTTTAAAAAAAAATTATTTTGTTATCATTAAGTTTCCTACATTTATCATATTATACATATTAAGTAAGAGATAAATAATCAGTTGCATTTCATTTATTTTGACAAAAGAAGATATTTCATGTTAATTTTCTTTGATATACAGAAAAGTGAACATTTTTGCACTCATCAAAACTTTTCACACCGCATAAATTTCCGAATAAGAAAGAAGAAAATACGCATTACATTACATTACATATGTTTATTACATACATTACATATGTTCTATTTATTTTGTGTTTTCATTAATCAAATCGTTGAATAAAATAAAAATTCACATTAAACGATATTTTAACTTATAAATCTCTAAGTTCTTACAGCAAAGTAAGTCAGACTGATAAAAAATGACTATTTCCCCCAAAATAATCAAGCAAAATTGATGGAAGGAGAATTTTCCTCTTACTGAGAAGCTATATAAGAAGTAAAATATAAAACGAATAATGAAACTCGCCGTCATACGATCGTGGGAGAGATGTTCGTTCAGAATGAAGTTTTAGCTGACGTACACTAGCAATAGTATTAAATTGCATTGTCAATGAAAATCTCATGACAAGGTAGATTTTAGCTGAGCATACGAAACGCTGCAAACGGAAACCTTATAATTATGCAGATTCAGGATGATTTTCATCTTAGATCTTGCGTTGTTCAAGGTTTTTTTCTCTTTTGAAAACCCTAAGACAACCTCGTTTTAAGGTTATTAGGTAGAAGGTTGTTTTCCAAGGTTTTGGATTAGGGTAATGTGCGTAGAATAGAGCAGATTGTCGCAGACCTCGTTTTAAGATTAGAAGGTTTACACGTGAACCGTGTAAAAACTCTTTTTAGGTTTACATGAAAAGGTTTTAGTTGGGTGAAAAAATCCTTATATTGCTATCTGGGATTAGCTGCATTAATTTTTCTTAAATTCAAGCAATAAAATATTAAACAACTTATATTGACAGTTTGTCACTGACATTTACACTTCTATCTAGATATATCCAGAAATAAATTATCTATATATTTGATTTTCATATTCGTTTGGTTTACCATGAGAGGCATTTCAAATGTGCCATTTTATGTACTATAAATGCTATCAAGCTTACATTTTAAAGGATCTTATTATATTAAGATAAAGTTGCTCTCTTAAGAAAATTAATTATGATAGTAAGTTGATTATATATTTAATATAAAATAATTATTCTATTTACATGAGAAAAAGAAGCTGAAAACAAGCTTAATATACATACTTTTTTAATTTAAAAAATCAAAACTCACTCTGGACAAGGGAAAAAATGCATAAAATTCGAATCGCTGTTTGGTTCGGGATAATAAATTTTTAAAATGGCTATTGTTTTTAATGCTTCTTATATATGCAATAAAATGGTAAGTTAAAATTGAAGAATTTTTAAAATATTTTAATGTAATTGAAATGTTTGGAATGTTAATCATTTTTCAACAAATTAATCGAAATATTTAGGTCATATTTTTTGCCTGTTGATTACCTTCCGAAAATTCTAGCATATAAAGCTAATAATAATACTCTATTTTTCTGTGTAATGTTGCGTGGGTGGGGGGGGGAGCTGAACTTCCTTTTTGTAGAAGCAAATATTTTAAACTGCCTCTTCATGAGTGGTTACTTCCTTTTAATAGTTTATTTAAGTGTGTCTATTTTTTTTATGAATTTAAAGTAATTTTGTGATTTTTCTACATTACATATAAGCTGCCTTGATGGTTTAATATTATTTCATATTTGAAGAAAAACAATAAAAATTGCACTGAGTAGATTTTTATTTCTCTCTTTAATTCTGTTAAATATTTAAATATAAGACTTACTCAGATTATAGATACATTTAAAACTAAATATTCAATTTGGAAATATATACAAAAGAAACAGAAATACTTTTCATAAAATGAAAAGGAACACTTTTCTTCAACTGAATTTAAAAACTGATTAAGATGTACTGAAACTAATCATACAGAAGTGCATTATTTTTTGCTTCATTCTATAAAACTGTTTCAAAAGTCTAGAAATATATATTCTTTAACAAGTAATGCAAAAATAGATTAGGCAAAAAATATATCTGTATATATAATCACTGATACATTTTTCGCAAAGATTCTAAAAGTGGAGAGCGCTTGCTTCTAATCTAAATTACGGTGTGACGAGGTCACGTGACTAGTTCACTTTAGGAAACCGGTGCGAATATTGGAATGCGACAGGGAGAAAATTTACTTTTTTTTACTAAATTTGTCTATGCTTTTGGCATTGTGGCAGACAGAGCCGTTGTATTGTCATCGCCATTTTGATTACTTTAAATATTGCTGTAACATAACTTAGTATAAAAATAAATTAATAATGGCTGAAAATATAAAAGTAGAAGATTATGGACATGCGGATAATAAACAAGATATGAGGAATAATCGAGGAGGCCGTAACAACAACAATCGAGGAGACAGAATGGACAAGAGGGATAATAGAGGACCTCCGGGTCGTAACCAAAATGACAACCAGCATAACCAGCAGTGGGCTCGAAAAGATTTTGTCAAAGAAAAATTGGAATCCATGAGTGGCCCTACAACTAACTTAACTAGTAAGGAAAATGTTTCAGCCAAGAAATTTACTGGGCGATGTCGTTTATTCGTGGGAAATTTGCCGACGTCTACTACCGAAGAAGAATTTCGTAAGATGTTTAAAGAGTTTGGTGAACTTGGCGAAGTATTTTTAAATAAACAGAAAGGATTCGGTTTTGTTAATTTGGTAAGCCTTTCTTTTCTTTTATTATTTGGTTCTTCATATTACCGATGCCGATGTACTCACTTTAGTGTGTACATCGGCACCGCATGTACAACAATAATTTCACAATATGTGTGAAATTATTGTTGCTGTTGTTTGCAAGTGACAAATATATTATTTAAAATCTTCCAAGGGATATTTCTGTATCGTCATCTGCCACTTCAACTACAATCGCCAAATTGATTTTAAACAGGAAAATTAAAAGAATAAAGCATCTAGATGATTGCCCTGGGTTGGCTATGAGTTAGGGGAGAGGGGGGGGGCACCTTTCACCAGTTTTTGCTTAAGAATTATTTTCGAAGTTTTATTGCTTTCAAAATCTAAGTGCCGATTTCTACAGCACCCTCTGCGTCTGGTTTTGGGTGCAAACGTCCGCGTTTATTGCACAACCATCTCCCTATCGTATTGCATGACAACGCTCATTGCCATGTCGCAAACAAAGTCACTCTCCTATTGCGACGGTGGGAAATCTTACTCACCCGACATGAGTCCTTGTTATTTCGATCTGTTTCCGAAGTTGAAGGAACCCCACCGAGGTCACCGATTTCAGTACATTTCATAAGTACTCCACGCGTAGGGCGCTAGGTCGCCTACATCAACAATCAACACCTTGCCACTGGTCTACAACGGCTTCCCCACATTTGCCGAAAGGTTATAAGCTTGTAATTGTACTTGTAAGTTCATTAAAAATTGATTTATACTTATGTTGCCATTATTTAATTTACAACCCTCGTTTAAACCGAATAGTTATAATATAGGTCTTGAAGTATTAAGATAACCATTAGAAAAACCTATTAATAGTTTCAATAATTTTGGCAACTTTTTTATGTGTGATACATAATATAAATCGTAATTAAAATGTATAATGCAAGTATTGTGCATGATTTAGTATCTAATAAAATGTCTAAATGCCAAAAAAGAAGCTTGCCCTGAGTGTTTGACTTATTTTGATATTTTTCGATAGTTTATTGCTGCACCATGCCGAAAACCAGTTTTTGACATCAAAAATCCAACCGTCGTTAAGTCTGTAATTTTAAAATTTGGATAAGCTTTAAATGGTGAAAAACCTTCAACAATATTTTACATAAATCTCACTGGCTGATGAATTACTATGAGAGAAAGAGTTGAGTAACACCTGGCATTTAACTACTGCTGTTATTTTTACGAAATCACTTGACACTAGTTGCAGACTAACATCCTTCTATTTAGTGTTAAATGACGAACAGATATTAGGGAAGATTAGTTAATCAGAATAGCCAAAGAAACCATTTTCAATAATTTTTGCGACATTTTCTAAGTATAATATATAATATAAATCATAATTATAATAGTATATAATGGAAGTGTAGTGCGGCATTTAGTATCTAATAAAATGTCTCCAATGTTAAAGAAGAAACTTGCCCCAGTTTTTTGACGAATTTTAAAAGTTTTTGACACTTTCCGACAGGTTTTTGATGTGTCATGTCAAAAACCCAGCCCTGATTTCTTTGGGTGCTAAGGGAGTGCTTTTTTAAAACTCAAAGTGCTCTTTTCTGAGAAAAAGCGCTCTGCTAGTTTTTTTATTTCTAGGGAGGACTCTGAATATTGTGATGGTGTAACTTTATACATAAGTAATCAGGGGTCTGTCCAGGCCGAATTTGCTACCGTTTAGCGGTACCTTCACAAATTCAATTTTATTTAAAACGGTAGTTTCACAAATTCAACTTTAGGAAAAACGGTAGCTTCACAAAATACTTTTCTTTAAAATTTTGTTTTTGTATCCGTTAAGTAACATTAAATCTATATTTTTACCATGATTTTGTGTTGATATTTTAATATAATTTTTAATTTTTCACAAATTATGTCTAAATTTTCACAAAATAGGTACCTTTCAGAAAAACCTAGACAAACCCCTGGTAATAGACTTGTAACTTTTTGTCAATTTCATCCTAAAACCTCTTTAATGGGTACCCTCACACTGTGGTATTTATGGAAATGAGATAGCAGATATGCTAGCCAAAAGAGGAGCTGCGGTTCTCCAAAAGCCCAAAACTAAAGCAAGCCTCCATTCCATTCAACTGCTGACATCACTCGTATATCAAAAGACATTTCAAAATTTTGCCACTCGGGCTTGCGATGGCAAGCACTGGAGTGTTCTTTTAACAAACTCAGCTTTTATTCCTGACCACCCGCAATCAGTTGCGGTTGCATCTTTTAGACTATTAACGGGGCATGACTGTCTGCAGAATCATTTATTTCGCATTAGACTACCCCAGTGGTCGGCAAACTTATCAGCCAAAGAGCCAAATGTGAACATTACAACAATTAAAAAAATAATAAATTGGGAGCCAAATCTGCTTGTTTAGTAAACTTTTAAGACACTAAATAAGTAGTACACTAAATAAAACTAAATTTCATACTTTATTAAGGTGAACAATGTGCTTGCATCTCCTTGGAAAGTTAGAGTAAGTCAGGTTGGCTTGTATGTTGTTGTTTTTAATTTTAGGCATGATTCCAAGCTCTCATCAATAAGGTGACTCCTCAGTTTACTCTTGATAATGTTCATGCTAGAAAAAGATTGTTCGCATATATATGTAGAACCGAAAAGGGAAAGAACAGCAAGCGCGAGCTTTTTCAGCTGATCGTAAGAGTCAGGAATACTATTCCAAGCATTGAAAATGATCATGTCTCCCTTCTCCAGGTCATTCAAAGCAGACCACTTCTGTTGTGAACTTCTCCAATATTTCCAATTCAACACAAAGACGTTCAAATTTAGAGCGCCATATCTCCTTGTTTTTTAAATCCAGCAATTGTATTTAAAAGCTACCAATGTCAATTTTAAAAGGAGAAAATTTCAACTCTATCGTAGCATTAAGAGGATTTTTGTCAAATGCCAAAGTTGCTCTTCTGTTTTTAAATTCCTGACACCTGCTGAGAAATGCTTCCCTCATATTTAAAATTATTGTTTTAAAATGGTATTTATCAATAGAGGAATTATTTTCTTGGTGATGCTTCAGCAGGTTCGGAAAGTGAAACAATGTTTCCCTTTCAAAATCCTGAGCAAAAATGGTTTAATTTATCAAAATAAGATGTAATTTTTTTCTTAACAAGTTTTTTTTTAAATGAAAATATTATTACGCCTTCCGTGGATATTTGTGTCAGAGTTGCACTTAAGGAGCCAAAGAGCCACATGCTCTGGAGCCGCACTTTGCCGACCACTGGACTAGCCGATTCACCTTTGTGTGTTATATGTGATAGTGGACGGCAGAACATTTGGACGAGTGTGAAGCACTGACAGATTTTTCTTGTATATTACAACGCTATTGGCAAGCGAGAAGTTTAATGGCCTAACAGCTAATGTAACTGGCATTTGACAAATAAATTATCCTGAAACCACATGTTTTTTTTTTAAATTCAATTTTTCAGTAGTTATTGCTTGTGTCCCTCTTGATTTTATTAAAAAAAGTTTTTATTAATAGTTTAATGTGATGTATGCATTGTCATATTTTGTCTCTAATTTAAAAATTATTTATCAAGGCTATACTGTATTATAAGCTATACTTTATCTAATCTATCACACGAAATTTAATTCATGATTCTCAGGTGATAACTACAAAGAAAATGTTATCTTTCAGAAATTTGATTTCTAGACCCTGATAGTGTCAAATGCCATTTGTTTTAATTTAGCAATAAATAACTATTTCAGATTTAACTGCTAATCATTGTTTTAGGATACACGCCAGAATGCTGAAAATGCGAAAGCTGCATTAGATTTTACAATGAAAGATGGGAGACAACTAAGAGTACGTTTTGCAACCCATGGAGCAGCTTTAAAAATTAAAAATCTCTCTCCTTGGATCTCAAATGAATTATTAGAAGCTTCCTTCAGTGTTTTTGGAGATGTCGAAAGAGCTGTTGTTATTGTTGATGACCGTGGTCGACCCGTGGGGGAAGGAATCGTTGAGTATGCACGCAAACAGTCTGCACAAATGGCCCTTAAACGTTGTACAGAGGGTTGCTATCTTCTTACTAGGTAAGATTTTATTTTTAATAACTCATGTTTCCATTAGTCTGCAAAAGTACAAAGAATTTTTTTTTTTTTTTTTTTTTTTTTTTTTTTAAAATTCTAATAGGATTTTTTAGAATTTTATATTCCACAGAGTTGATGTGTGTGTATTGTTATGTTTATGTATGCCATGTTGCATAGCATTTTTAAAAAATGCTTAAAGGTGTTCCCCGTGGCAGAAACACAGCGACATTGTCGCAGAAAAGGACTGAGTTCTTGCAGAAAGATTTTCTAATTTGGGAAATAAAATTTTTTGGTTTGGCAAAAACAAAATTTCTCAAAAAAGATTCTGCAGAAACAGAAACTGTTTTACAAAAAAATAATTTCGACAGGAACAGAAAATTTCTGCTGAAGCAATAATGGTTCTGCAAAATTATTTTCTTACAGAATTGTTTTTCAGGGATGAGATTTTTCCGCTTTTTAGCGGATTTCCGCTTTTTTCACTTTTATCTCTTGAATTTCAGCTCTTTTATCCAAAATTCAGATTTTTCTAAAAATTTCACTTTTTTTTATAAGTTTTCTGCTTTTTCAGAAAATTCACTGATTTTCAAAGAGAAACAGAAAATTCAAACTACATAGCTACCAATCCTTTCTCATTTTTACTTATTTTAGCTATTTTCTCCCCTTTTACTTTTCTTGCAAAAATACTGTGAAACAAAAGAAAAATGCTGTGTTTGAAATACTGTAAATCAGTATTGAAACAAAATGTTTTTAAAATTTATCCCACCTTTTTTTGCTTTTTCTATTTTTGCTATATACCTTGTAATATAAATTCATGTACTACAGTTAATGTCTCACACATAGGCTACCATAGAAGAGCATTTATTTTTAAAAAGTGAAATCTGAAACTTGTTTCAAATACAATGAAAAGGAGTGAAAAACATAACTCCTCCTTTTTCTTCTCCTTTTCTTTCAAAAATACTGTGAAACAAAAGAAAAATGCCGTGTTTGAAATACTGTAAATCNCAGAAAATTCAAACTACATAGCTACCAATCCTTTCTCATTTTTACTTATTTTAGCTATTTTCTCCCCTTTTACTTCTTTTCTTGCAAAAATACTGTGAAACAAAAGAAAAATGCCGTGTTTGAAATACTGTAAATCAGTATTGAAACAAAATGTTTTTAAAATTTATCCCACCTTTTTTTGCTTTTTCTATTTTTGCTATATACCTTGTTATATAAATTCATGTACTACAATTAATGTCTCACAGATAGGCTACCATAGAAGAGTGATTTTTTTTAAAAGTGACAAAACCTTTTCCACATTAAACTCTTTTTTTTTTTAAATAAAAAAAATCTAACTATGCACTTGCTAAATTCCAAAACATGCCTGATATAAAGGTTGTGCATATCGAGCTGCAGTTACTATTTTAGAAAATATTGTAAGTAAGTTTATTGTCAATTGTAAATAAGCTTTTTTGTACTTGGAATGATTGGTGAATATCGAAGCTGTTCAAAGGTTTTAACTTTGCATATTATTGTGGTTTCTTTTACATGATTTTTATATATTATGGTAACAAAAATATAGGATTTAACATGACGTTCAAATTTTAATTTGAGTTTAAGATATTTGATTAGCCACTATTCCATTATAATTGTCGTTTCTGGCAATTTTCGTTTGTTTTTTCTTATTCTGGTAGTTTTTAGTGAGTATTTCGATTTTAGGAGTTACTTTTTGACATTCGCAATTCAGATTGATTCTACAGTAAATCCACATAGTTTATGGATCGTTTGATCGATTTCCTCGTTTTTTTTTTATTCGGATGTAATTGATACCATGTCAGGGCTAACAAATTTCATATTTTAGTAATCAATATTTCACACGCTTGATGATTCGTGACAATTACGTCTTATGTCCACAATAGTCTTCGATTGCTTTTACGGCAGTTATTATAATTACAATTGTTTTTAAACTTGCTGTGTGCTTAAAATAAGTTTTTATTAAGACACTCAACATTTTCAAAATTTATGAATTCGCTCATTTTTAAACTAATTTATAGAATGTGGGAATTTAACTGAGGAATTATTTTTATTTTAGATTTTATCTTTTAAAAAGAGGTATGATTTTGTATTAATGATAAAATTAAAAACTTAGTATATTTTGGGTGTCTTAAAAGTTATACAAATGTTTGCTAACAATGCCCAGTTTTGTGATGGGTGCTTTTTTTTTAAAGGGGAAACAGTGTTCTTCAGCTTTTGGCGCCCTGTCCTTTTAAGGTCTGGAATTACACCAAAAATGACTTTCCATTTTTGTAAAATGCTTTCCTGATTTTTATTTTAAACCACTACGGAACATGCATATGCAGGTTATCTGCGCACCTGAGAAAAGTCAAGGATTTTGGTATTGTCATGAAATGTCATGATTTTAACTATTTTTTTAAAAAAAAATCATGGAAAGTCATGGATTTAGGTTGCCGAAAAATCTAATTTTTAAAATGGAATCCTCTCAATTTCAGTGTTCTGAATATCTGAATTAGTAACAAAATCCACACTCACAGTCATATTTTATTAAAATGTAAAATGTTTTTATTATGCTCCTTAAAAATTATAGTGTTCTTTCATAAAATGAAACAAAGAACATCATTTCTGGAGCAAATTATCTTTTAAACTTCTGTGATTTCAGAATTTTTATTGTTATTTTTTTTTTTTACTTTCTCAATCTAAAATTCTAGCTAAAATCATCTAGTCATTGGCAAATTCTTTTTATAGTGAAATGAGAACAGAAAAATTAGAACAAGAAAAGTATCTTTTAATAATTCTGCAGAAAGAAAAAATTTTTTTTGCTGTTGTATTTTTTTCAGCTATTTTATTTCCTTAACTCTTTCTTTACTCTGTTTTACAAGTTTAAAATCTATAAATATGAAGATGCAGACTAAAACAGTTTTGGTTATATCTATCATTTCGGTTAAGGTTATTATAATGTTTTTTAGACTTATTGTTGTGTTTTTGTTGGGGAAAATAGTAATTTCAGTAAGTCATGAAAAATTCTAGGAATTATTCTTGGAAAGTCATGAAAAGACATGGAATTGAAAATGTAAAATGTAGCAGATACCCTGCATATAACAATAACCTTCCATCATATAAAAATAGAAATAAGATTTTCTATCTTTATTAAAGCTCTCCTAGACCCGTTGTTGTGGAGCCTTTGGAACATAGGGATGAAGAGGATGGCCTTCCAGAGAAAAACTTTCAGAAAAGTAATAAGCAGTACTTGAAAGAAAGGGAGATCGGTCCGCGCCTCGCAGAGCCAGGCACATTTGAATATGAGTTTGCAAATCGCTGGAAAAGACTGTATGAATTAGAACAACAGAAGAGAGATCACCTCGAAAAAGAAATTGAAGAAGGAAGGCGGGCTTTGGACGATCAAATGGAGTTTGCCATATATGATCATGAAGCTAATCTCTTAAGAGAAAGTATGTCTTTATTTTTTTTAATTAAGTTTTATTTTGTGTCTTCGCGTTCCATTTATTTTTATCAAATTGCTTTTTTATGGCATTTAGTTTTTTATTGAAAGATCACTTAATCACTTGTTTTAAATTAGGGTTGTCTCTCCACAGGGAAAATACAGGGAATTTCATTTCTTATTTTTGCCTTGTATTCCGGGTGTACCCCGATATTGAAAATTTTTCCGAATTCCTCCAGGTCTAGAAACTAAGAGCAAGTTCTGTGATTTTCCTCAAATATTGTGAAGTGGCAAATATTCACAAGATTTTAATATAAAACCTTGATTTCGTATTTACTGGATTTAAAAGTTACTCATTGTGAATTGTACATCTCTATTTGTATTCAAGAGATCTAAAAGGCATGCATCGTGATTCTTGTAGGAACGAAGCTTTTTCTTAAATTAGTTACCATAAAAGTGTGATATTCCTTATTACAGTGGGTAATTTAATTATAGATCTTAGGTCAAAAAATTAAATATGAATAGTATATAAATTAATATCTTGTGTCACAATCACCGCTGTTTTGAACTATACAGTCTATTCAAAGAAGCTGATATCAATAAATACATAAAAGTAAAATATACCGCTTAAAGCTTACGGGTCACTTCCCCTTTGGCAGAATGGCAGTGACAAAGCAAAATTGTCGCAGAATGTTACAGAGTTCCTGCAGAAAGAGTTTTCTTTTCAAAAGATTAAAAAAATTACTTTTTTTTCCTAGAGAAATTTACACATAATATTTGAATCATCCATAGATAATCACTTTAGGATACGCTCAAGTCACATCGATAGTATCGTAAATCGTCGTAACGTTTCGATTATATTTTCGACATTGATTTTCACGTGGATTTTAAATATCCCAATAAATTCTAAGCATGAAAAATTCAAATCGTGCATTTGAGTATTTACTTTTAAAGGCAATAATTGTATTGAATTTTTGGCAGTTATTGTTATTGATTTTTTCCATAGTTTTTAAATCTGATATTTTTATACAGTATTATTTATGACAACAACCTAATCCCGAAACGAAACATGCATCTGAGAAGTCCTATTCGTGTTATTTCGTCGTCTATCTTATTTTTGGCAATGACTACTATGGATTGCATGATTTTTTAATTATTTTTTTGCTGTGATGATTATTTACAAAATGTGAAGGAGGAGATAATTTGTGCAACAAAATTCGAGAATATCACCCATAATATTACATGCTGAATTTAAAAAAAAAATTTTAACACAGTGCTTTTGTCATTTTAAATGAGTAGCATATATGTTTGTTATTATTAAAAGTACCTTGCAGAAAGATATTAGTGATGGACACATTCAAAGAAGCCACAAGTTTGAAAACATTCTGCCACAGATGTCACTTCTTCTAAGGTTAGAGGTAGGCCTAAGATTAGATGGCTTGACTGTGTGAAAGAGGATTTCAAAATCCCTAAGAATTACTAACTGGGGAACAATCTCAAAGAAAAGAGCAGAATTGAAAAAGATTTTGGGGAAAGCTCCGCCACAGGGATAACAAGCCAATAGAAAAGGATTTAAATATCTTTTACTTAAAAAAAGCCATTTTGTTAAATAGTATTTACCTCCCAGCTAATTTTAATGTTATGGATTTAAGTATTAAAAAAGAAAGAGCGTTATTGACTGTTGTTAAAGGGAATAATAGTAAGTATAATGTAAATAAACTAATTACAGGGAATTCTAATGTTTTTAAAAATATTTATTTAAACACTAATTTTTAATCAAATAAAATTTAAAAGAATGTGTAGTAATATTTATTTATCCCCCCCCCCCAGAAAAAAAATCATATTTTTTTTTTGAAATTTTGATTCAAAATAATGAACATTCAATTCACATAATTAAATCTATTTAAAATCATTAAGCTGATTGTGTGTGAAAGCTATTACACAAAAAATTATGTCATCTTAATTTCTTTTCTCATTACATTTGAAACTCAAAATATACAGCTAAAAATATTTTTCTTTCTTTTTCTCAGGATTGCGTCATATGGAAGAGCAAAGTACTCTGATTCAGCGTGAAAGAGAACTGAGGTAGGTTGATTTGTCTTTTCAACAAGTTACTTTTCTGGATGTTAATTTTTTTAAAAATTCTTAACTAAAATTTCAGAATAAAGTGGTGTAATAAATGTTTTCAAATACAATATTTTTCTACCAAAAATTTTTTAAAATATTTTTTTTAAGCCTTGATTATAAAATTTAAATTTTAATTTCAATTATTGTTGCACTGTGTTAAAGATGTTTTTCGGTGGAAAAGAAGGCTTCAAGCTTAGAACTGGGGTACCATTTTAATTTTCTTGTCTCCATACATAAGACATGGTGCATAGCGTTTTTAAAAAGTGCTTAAAGGTGCTTATTTTCGATTTTTAAAAAACCCTTGAAGCTGCTTCTTTCATGGGGAGTTTTTAAAAAATGCTTCATTTTCCCTTTTCGAAAATGAGTTTTTTTTTTCTTTACCATGTCAATTTTCACCACTCAAAAGCTTGCTTTTCACATTTTATTCAACGTTTTCACAACTCATTCAACCACAATAGATGTACCGTCGGTCGATAGTGTATGGAAGCGCCAATCATTTTACATGTTTGCTGATCCACTCTGCTGCATTTTGAAAGATATTCTCAATTTCAAGCTTCATTTTCCACCCTCTGAAATCGAACCGAAAAATCTCTCGATGATTTTTTAATGGCTAATATAATCAAGAAAAGAGTTCTTTGTCAGAAATTAGTTATTTTATCATGATCCTGTAAAGTCTTTGAAAATTATTTTGCATTTTGTTAATGTATGAGTGCTTACTTTTTGTTAGAAGATTTGGCTACGAACCCTGATAAGAAAACTAATTTGAAAATTTCAAAGTAATAAATGGTTGCAGCTATAATGGTGTTCTCTCTGCTACAATTTTTAATTCATTCTATTTTTAAAATTTTTAGTGTGATAAAGAAATTTTTTTTGTACAAAATTTAACTTTAAAGAGGTACATTAAATTTGAACATTAGAATTATTGTCGAGGGGACAATTGATCGCTATCATTTTATTTGCTTAAAGAAGAAGTAAAGAAGTGTCACAATAAGAATAAATGTTCAAATCTATCCTCTGAACATTACATTTTGTAAAGCCTCGTGGCAACACGGCGACCTTCTAGGAAATCTAGATTAATAAGTCACTAATAAAACAGTTAATTTAAACTAAAAGTTCTTTATTATGAGGATCCATATTGAACGGCAAAAACAGTATCCAATACGCAGTCACTGGTAGAGAAGTGGGTGAAGGGCAGGAAATTCAGGAACAAGGAAATTTTAGATGAAACTGACTTAGACGAAATCAAATTAAGACTGCATGTTGACGATCATTCTCCTCCATCTTAGAGATCAATTTTATTCATTAATCAATAAGTGAGAACCGGACACCTACTGGAAGCCAAGGTGTTGGCAGCAATACCGACAGTTGAAGCACACTCCCGGATTTGGGATTCTTGATAAGTAAACATCCATCGCAAACAGTTTTCTCAAAAATCGAGGATAACGTTTATGTTTTTATGAAAAACATTTTTAAGATCTGCTATCAAAATTCATAATTTTTATTGGAAGGCTTATTGAAGTTTCTATATTAGCAAAAAAGCAGTCAGTGCAATTTTTACATGGCCGAAAAAGGGTTATCAGAAATAAAACACATAACAGCGCGACGTGGAGTATAATACTCTCAACTTTCGAAAGCACCGAGCGTCTCTTGCACCGCTAACTGCTGTTTTCGGAGAAAGAGTAGGGCTGAAATGGAATGTGCAAAGAATTTCCGGGGGAGAGTGTCCTAATTGTATTAAAGATTAAGGGGCGAGAAGAATCGGATCAGCAAATTTAAGATTTGAATCAGGAATTAACAAAATTGGATAAAGATTTTAGTTTAGAACTGACCATGAGATCATCATAATATTTTATTTCTTCAATACTAATCCAATTTTTAATTAGTACTGTACTATACTTCACCTATATTAAGCAAGCTCAAAATTTTAAGTGACTCTAGATTTAAAATTCTATAGTCAGGGCATATTGTAAGAATATAGGTGTCAGATTTTTCAGTTCTGTTATTCCTCATTCTAAATTTGAATTTTATTTTCAGAATTTTAACCAAAAATTTCAACTATTGAGTATAAAATACGGGATTTTATTTTGATTTTCCAAAAGAAAAAAAGTGTAGGCATTTTGTTTATCCATAATCAGTTCTGAATCATGCCTTGCTGTAAAAATGTTGACAGGCCACACCTGCCCTCAGGTAATCCGATTGTCAATGACTGTTAATGAAGGCATGATTATTTTTGCAGAAAACTGCAAACCATCTACTATTTTCAAAACACTGCTGAATAATTTCATTGAACTATTTTTGAAGATTACTGAACAAACAAGCGAGTCAATAAAATTCTAGTTTTCGAATTCATCTAAAAATATTTAAATGCGAAAAATTATGCAGAAGGAATTGTTGTGATTTCAGGTGTCAAAAAGTGATTATTCTGAATAAAAATAAAGTCTCATAATATTATATTTAAAATATCAAAACTGTAAGAACAAATGTGAAAATAGCAGAAAAACGATTACAAGTAATTATGTTTTCTTGTTAAGTTTCGATATTTAGTCGCATCTTTTGTTAATTGGCAGGCGTGAAGACGAAATGCGAAGGGAAGAACAACGTCGTCAGCAAGAAATGATTCTTCGTCAACAGCAAGAAGAAATCTTGCGAAATGATTTAAGGCGACGTCAAGAAGAAAATATGATGATGAGTGTAAGTAATTTTTTTTAAAAATATTTTATTGTATCATTCAGGTTTGGCTGGTTTAAAACCATGTGATTTTTGAATTTTTCTAAGTCTGGTTTCTTTTATTTTTTAAAAATATTTAATATATTTAAATTTTTGATCTTTATAGCCTTTCCATTTTTTAATGTTTGTAACAAAATGAAAAAACAGGATTTACAATTTTGAGTTCAATTCCTACTGGAAATTTGTATTTCAAATAAATGTAAATCTGCAATATTTGAATGTTTTTAAAATATTCTAGTTTCTATGTTACCTTCAACTGCTTTGTTATTTTTTTACTGTTTGATTAATAATTCAGTTCTTTTTTATTGGCTTATTTAAAAAAACATTGCTCAGATAAAACAATATAATTTTTAAGGAAGGCACTCGTTAAGATCTTCTATTGATTATATTGAGTAATGAAGCAGGGTTGGGACTTAAGACAGGGCACTTGGGTTTAACTTTCTTAAAGTGTTCAAAAAACCTTGAATATTGGTAAAGAGTAAAAATTTTATATGTGTAACCATTGTACACATAATAATTATATTAATAAATACTTTTTATACAATTTACTTAAACTTAGAAAAGAATATAATTGGAAAAGATTTAAAACTTTTGAAGTTCCACAATTCATTGAACAACAAAAGTGAATATCTTATCCCTTAAATATGAATAAATATCCTCTTAATACTGATAAATTATGTTTTTGCATAAGGATAAATAATGCAATTTTAAAAATAATAATAAAACTTTTTTCAATAATACCATGTTCACTCATCGTTTGTTGTTTCTTGTTCAAAAATTAAAATTTTATTTTTCCCAATGTTTTTTTTAAAATTGTAACATAATTTAAGTAAAAAGGTTTTACAGTTTAAACTGTGGATTAATCCATTCTGTCCTAACCCTCAACTCTTTAATAAAGTATTAACCTGTGTAAGTCATGGAAAGCGTTTGCTAGATTTTAGCAGATACCCTGCTTCATGTGAAACAGTTTCCAGTCCTCATTTGCAATAATGAATACAAAACTGTTATCAGGAATTAACTTTACTCAACAAAAATCATTCAGATTATTTTATAGTAACCGCAAGACTAACGGGAGTTTAAAGAAAACAAAATTGTTGGTTGCAGCAGACTCTTGAAATATGTTAATGCAATCTTTTAATGAAATAGTTTTATGTAACAATCTGTTTGTCGGTAAGTAATAAAAAAAATTACCTAGCTGTCTAAATTTTCCTCTAGAAATGGTTACATTGCAAAACATTTGACTTACATGTCAGAAATAGGTTTTTGATTTAAAAAAACCCATATCTGCCAACTATCAGACTTATGTATCAAGTCTCAAAACCTCAGGCTGACAAAGTATTTTCTTGTACTTCTTTTTTTAATTTTATTTTTTTAAACGAGTTTAAATCAATTTTGGGACCCGGCATCAGTTTCAAATAATTACCATTTGATAATTATCATTTACCAATAATTACTGGACTATCATTACATTCAAATAATTAAAACTTCTGTTATCTTATTCAGGGTGGCCACCCACCTTAAAAACCTGGAATTATCAGGAAATTTTTTTATACTGGAAAAGTCAGGGAAATTTAGATAAAAAGCTGGAATTTTTTTTGTAGATTTTCTTAATTTGAATTATTTTATGATCCGTAATACCCACTTTTTTTAGATGGAAATTTATTACCAAACAGTTGAAATATCAAGTTAGCAATATTATGCATACATCAAAATTTACTCCATTATAACCCTGTTAAACTAACAATGCCACATAAATCCCATGATTGCTAAATGAATGAAGAAACTTTCGGAGACTATGCAGTTTAAGAAAGGCAAAAATTGTGGTGGAGGTTGAAGAAGAAGTTAAGATATTTGTTTCTGTTTATATAAGTAGCATTTATTTCACTTCTAATCTGTGGGTTGAATCCATTTATCGTTCAAGTTTGTTTCGATGCTTCAAGTTTTCTTTCTTTTGACTAAATGATTAGAAATGCTTTAGTATTTTTAATTTCATTAAATTCTTCACAAATTAGTTGGTCATAATTTAATAGATTCTCATATTTTAATAGATTTGTTGGTCATAATTTAATAGATTCTAGTACTTTAATAGACAGGTCATAATTTAATAGTAATTAATGTTACGTTCTTTCTAAAAACTTTTGTACTCCTACCTAATTAAATCAGTGAATTATTTTTATCAGCAAAGCCAATCAATCACATATTTTATTGCAATCGCTAGCAGCAATGTTTGTTAACAAATCATTACAATTTTTGTATTGATACTAATTTTCTCAATTTCATTTTAACCTTTCATAACACGTTTTAATTAAAAAAGCTTCTTTTAAGGACCAACTATATGTTAACATTATTATGTTTGTAAGGATGGAAGATGATGGAAGGAAAATACCAATACAAAGAGCTCAGTATTTTTAATTATACATTCACATTAAACATTTAACAATAAAGAGTAACAACATAACATTGCTAACATAAAAAAGAAGTTTTGCCCAAACTGAGTGGGGAAAAGGGATCCAGGATGGTTTGGAGCTCGTCTTGCGTCATCTCACATTAAGTCAGAATGAAGTCTATTGTTTTTGCGGATAGAGGGATAGCGTTATCTGGTGTTACGAATTAACTATCTGTTACATCTTAACATTTTGTTGGTAAATATTTGATTTTTCGTTTAAAATTCGATTCACAATGTCGAATTTAAAATTGGACATTGTGTAATAATAACATTGTTGAAAGTGCGCTAATGTTACTCTTTTTCCAGAGATGATATTTTCAAAACTGTTTCTCCTTTTACCTTAAGAAGCTGCTGAAAATTCGGCAATGTATGGGAAATATGTTAAATGTTGTATAATCATATAATATAATTTTTTTTATTCATAAGTGTTTATTAGGAAGAAGCAAAATGAAAATTTTTTTTTTTCTCTTCACAGTGCATTTTTCTAGTTGTAAAAGCATTGAGAGAATATTTTTTACTATTTCTCTGTTTCTTTTTTATTCAACTTAACAACTTCAGTTTTTTTTCTAGCTATTAGTTAGTTTTTATTTTTTTATACACCAATAATATAGCTAAGTTTTAATTAATTTTAAAAAATTACTAAACTTATTTATATATAAAAAAAATATCTATTAATGATTTTTATGAAAGGAAAATTTGTTTGGCCGACTATTCGGTATTCGGCAATTCTACCCTACATCATTAGTTCCCTAATAAAAATATATTAAACAATACTTGTCAAAGGTTTTTTTGAGTGTCTCAGTATTTGCCATTTGGTGCACTTAGTGCAAAAACTATCGAAAGTAACGCATTAAACTTTTTTATTCAATAAAAACAATATATTTTACATGCTAAACATATTATTTTCTCCACGTCCATCTTAATTTTTTTTTTTACCAAAACGTAAAAAAAAATTACTAAGTTGTTAAAATAAATGTATTATAATTATTTTTTCCATGATACATTAAAAAAAATATCATTTAAAATAAAATATTTTACAATATTGGTACTTTTGTTGTATTCATCATATAACTTTATAAGGGGGAAAAATCACGTTAACCTGGAAATTTTAAGATTTTTACCTGGAAAAATCAGGGAAATTTGAAACCTGATTTGAGTGACCACCCTGTTATTGCTTTATTAATGTTGGTTATGCGTGAAGTGAATCTATGCTTGTAGTGTTGCATTAATTGCCTTGCCATCAGATTTTTTTTAAAAGTTAGCAGGCATGAAAGCATCCTTTGTTCAATGTTGTCTTTTTTATAAATATGTTTAATTTAGTACCGTTAGATAAGAGTGATATTTTTACCACTTTCATCTATGAATCTAAAATGAAATTAATTTATCAAACCAGTATGTTAAATAATAATTTGTATTCTTATTGAAAGTTTCAGCTATTTTTAGCTTGCCCAAGATAAATTAATTTTTAATAAAAGTTGTCATTTTTATTTATTATACACTATCTTGGCCAAACGTGTCCGAACACCAGGTTGTTAGGGCGGTGGAAGCATAATGGTGTGGGGGTGTTTCTCGTGGTTTAGTCTGTGTCCGTTTCATTCTTGTGGTTGGAAACATAAGCTCTGAGATGTATGTGGACAATGCTGCACTCTATGGCAATATTTCGGCCCATTTCTATCCGTTCACAAGTCGAGGCTCGCACACATGAAATAAGTGTTCAAAAATTGGACTGGCTTTCTAAAAGCCCCGATCTAAATCCTTTTGGGTTGCGTCAAAGCGCATATTATGTAGCCATTCTCTGCAAGCACTCACTTCAGCTATGTCAATTCCTATCAAAAACTGGTGGAAAGTTTTCGTCTGCAGGCTGTCTATGTTAAAGGGTGACCAACATCCTATTAATATGCGGTTAAGTCCACACCACAGGGTGTCTGGATGCCAGATAGTATATCATTACGGTAAAATACACAACTAATAATATGTCTTTTTCTTCTTCTTGGGCATTGCAGGCCGAGGCCGCCCCAATAAGTTTTTGCCATCTCAATCTATTCTGGGCCATGACCTTCCAGTTAGTTATTCCTATCATCTTTAGGTGTCTCTCGACTGCGTCCGGCCACCCGGTCGGTGGACAGCCCCTTTTTCTCGTACCTTCTGCTTTTAAGAAAGTTATTTTTTTGCTGTGTTTTGGTCTTCAGATCTATAAGGGTTTGTTGACAAAAATAATTTAGTTTGTTGTATTGTTGAGGTGAAGTGTTTACATAGTTATCGATCAAACTGATCATAATGGTATTATCGATATCAACTGCAATATCGGCAGTATGTCGGTATTGCATGTAAAGTTCGATAAACAAATTTGTAAATTAAAATCCATATTAATAAAAATTTTAAATAAAATATGCAAGAAATTTTTAGCATATATTTTGAAAAGAGGGGAGGATAGCCTAAAAACGGCTATGCCTAGGGCCTACGAAAGGTATAATCCGGCTCTATGTCCCAGCCATCGAATGCGATTTGCCTCAATAATGTGAACTATGTCTGAATAATGTATAAAAATTCTAAATATGTTTTTTTTTTCTTTGTTAGGGAGGTGGTTATGGTGACTTAATGGACAGGGTATGCATCTTCATTATCCTTCATTTATTTATCTCTATTTTCTCAATATCAAAAAAGTAGAAAGTAATATATGTGATTGCCTTTTTAGGATCAAATGAGAAAAATGCCTCCTGGTCCCATGTCTCCTGCAATGCCCGGTGATCCTAATGCTGCTGCTAATTATGGCAATGGAATGATGCAAGGAGCTGGTATGGGACTTCCACCGGTAAGCTCTCTCTCTCTCTCTCTCTATGAAAACTGTTTCTCACTTTCTTGGAGATTTTGTAAAATTATCGTGTGCTCTATTAAATAATCTCTTCATTAAAGTTAACTTATCTTATAATTACAGAAAATTAACATAGGTACTTTTCTGTTTTTTTTTAAAATTTATTTTTTATTTGTTTTTTTATGACTAGGCCTGCAATGTAATTTCCCACTATCACATTTATATTATACCATACTGTTTTATTTATTTATTATTATTTTTTATTTGACTAAATTTTAATCCTTTTCTGTATTCTATAAGTATCTAGTCTATTTTAAAATGCGACTTGAAAGCAGTTATCAAACTTAGAGATAATAAATTTAAGATGTGGGTGAGGCATACAAAAAATTTCTATGAATTTTGTAGTCATTTTGACATTTGAGTGTTTTATTTCAGAGTGAAGCTGAAGTATAAATCTTGACAATAAATCTTGCCGCGGTAGAAAATCCTTCGCTTTTCCGATTTATGTTGGATTTTTATCCAATTTCCTTTATTTTATGATAAAAAAATTGTATCATTATTCAAATGCACGATTAGGAATGTGTGGACTCTGATACCATTATATCCAATATCAAAATTCTTGTCATTTTATTCTTTTCCAGCATAAAAAGTGAACTCTTGTCTAAAATTTACGCACTCTGTTTCCGAAGCTCTCCCGTTTTGAAAAAGTCAAAGATTTGAAATGGAATCAGTAGGACTACAGCACAACATAAAATAATTATTCAAATGCGCAATTCAAATTTCGTGGACCCGAATAGTAAATAAATCCTTTTTAAAAGTCTATACGTAATTTGAAATATGTGATTCTAAATTCGAGTTACTTTATAAATGCATTTCAAAACATTTAGATTTTAAAAACTGTGTGGAAATCTGTAGCAGTAACAAGTAAATATGCTTCTGTCATAAAAAAAAGAAGAAAAAAATGGGTAAAATGTAGAATTTATCAAAAAAAAAAAAAGTCAGGAAAATTGATGTGCTCAATACCCTGTATTAAGTTTAGCATTACCAGTATGTCTCAGTAAAATTTTGCAAATTGAAGATAATGTGTTATATTTTATTTTGGAACAGTCAAATAGTCATAATAAATTTTTTTTACCTGCATTGTTGATTCTCAAAAGGGTGTAGCGTGGAAATCAAAAATTTCAAATTCCATAATTTTTCAGATTTTTTTAATTGTCTTCTGTTTTGGTGTGTTCTCCTACTTGGAATTGGACCCATTGTACAGGGCTTTGTGTTCTGGTTTTGTTTCAATAATGTTTTCGTAAAATTTTTAAAGATTAATAAAAGTTTTCAAATTTCCATTAATTTTAGAAAAAATAAAAGTGGGATTTTTAAATTTAAGAGTTGGGGTATAAAGTAGATTAAAGAAAGTTAAATATAATTAAAATTGTATTCTCATCTCTGTTACTCAGTTTTCTAAGAGTGTTGAGTAAAAATGTTTTATATTGGTGGAAATAAAAACTTATATTTTTATAGTGTTTTATGCTGCTCTTGTTTAGAATCAGACTCATTCATTGTTAATTATTGTGTGTCCAACTTTTTTTCTTTGTAACAATTCAATTCAATAAGCAATTTTCTTTCTCCTTGCTACAGATATCACTTTGCAAAAGTGTACTATTCTTTTTTTCTTCTTTTTTTTTTTCAAAATTGGCAAGCTCATTTTCTGTTTCTATTTTGCATAGCCATTTATTTTCTCAAATTGAGTTCAATGTCTCTTTTCTTAACATGTGGCTTACCAATACAGTGACAGAATTTTTTCTGGCTTTTGACAACAAACTTCCTTAGCTCTAATATTTTGCTTTAAGATACTTTTAATTATAACAATTACTAATTTAAAGTAGCCGATACATTGCGTTTATAGAAGAAAGATTAGAATAAAAATGTAAAAAAATTTTAATTGTAAAAGTAATATTTTTTTAATTCTGTTATAGGCGGTATTCTTGCATTTTGTAGGCAGAAAAATGCAATGCAATTTCAAATTTTGTAAATCATTACACAAATTAAAAAGCGTAAAATTCGTGCAGAATTCCTAAAATAAAGATCACTAATCACTCGAATAGGACTCTAAAGAAAAGAGACACTTAAATAGGTGTACGTAAAACGTGGTGTACTTTAAAGAAAAATAATAAAAGAAAACATTTCTGGACCGAACTATGTTTTAAATGTTTGTGATTTCTAAATTTTTTATATTTATGTTATTAATTTGAAATTCTAGCTTAAGCCGGTTATTACAGGTTTTTTTTTTAAAAAATCTCAAATGAGAATAGAAAAATCATGGTCATGACTCTGGACAAGAAAGGCATCTTTGCAAAAAATTCTGCGGAAAGGAAAACCGAAATGAAAAATCTTTCAACAAAAACTCTGCAACATTGTGCGACAATGTTGCCATAATTCTGCCACAGGGCCTTTAACTGGAAATGCTCCTTTATAACAATAGAACTTCTTTATCTTCATTTTATGATTATTGTTCATTTTCAGAAATAAAAAGAAAAAAGACTATTTTCGATTAACTTGCATTTGAAGTATGCTATTTTCACAGCTTTTTATGTGTTTTTGTCTTATTAAAGTAATAATTTTAGCTGTATTTTAACTGCTGGTTTTAAGTACAGGAGCAGTTTTTTCTTCCTTTGACTGATTCTATGCCCACTGTAAAAAAAAAAAAAGCATTTGCTTTTGTTACTTAAGATTATAACATTTATTTTGACTGTTTGGTTTGCTCGACAGGGTGCGTAGCATTTTTAAAAAGTGTCTAAAGGTGCTTATATTCAATTTTTGTTTCTTAGGAGCCCTTAAAGGTGCTTTTTTCATTGGGTATGTTTAAAAAGTGCTTGATTTTCACTACAAATTATGCGAAAAGACACAGTTCACATTATTCTTAACGTTTTCACAATTCATTCAACCCCAATCTATTTTGGCGTATTGTCAGTCAGTAGCATATGAAACGCCATTCGTTTTGCATGATTCAAAATTTCATGATTTTTGACAAATGTCAAAAACAATGCCAAAAGTTTTTTTTTTACATGATTGTTAAAACAATATAAAACCGTCAATTATCAAAAACTTTCCAACCCTAATGATATTACTTTTAAAGTGCTTGAAAATATTTTTTGAGTCCTTAAAAGGTGCTTATTTTTTGTTGAATAATTTGGCTACGCACTTTCTGAAACTTAATTAGAGTTAAATTTTAAATTTATTCCATGTGGAATTTAGAAAATTTGAGATTTTCCTTATTAAAAAAAATAATTTTTTCATGTTTCTGTACTTGAAAGTTTGATATCCAGTCCCTCCAATTCAATTTTCAAAATCTGAAGAATGGACAGTGTAACAGTTGAGTAATAAATGTTAAGTGACTGCATTATTAAGCATTGGGATGCAAATCTTGTTTTATCGTTTGCTCTTTTGATAGTAGCGTATTTATGTTTTATTACGAATTTTGATTGGACAAAGTTAGATGAATGCTCACTTCCAACTTTTCCAAGTCCAACTTTTATTGACACATTTTTGGGAAAATGAGTTGTGAACTATGTTAATTTTTTAATTTATTAATTTAAAAGGAACTAATGTGCAATTGGAGTTTAATTGGTTAGGAACTTACTAAAAAGTCAAATCAAGTTAATAAAAATGTTTAATTAGTTTAATTATCACAAATTGACCTGTTATGCATGGTAAATCAATAATCTTTTTTTTATCAAAGAAAAGTATTAAAAGGGATATTTTGGGCGACGTAATCTACTTATATTATAATTGCATTTTCATAATTATGATCGTTGTTTTTCCACACAAAATTCGTTTTCCCTTAATTAATTCTTCACGAATTAGCTTAAGTGTGTTGTTGCCATTTTAAGGACTCTGTTCTTTGTTTTCAACTGAAGTATGCATTTATTCCTTCTTTATTGAACATTATTAATTTTTGTTAAGCAGATATCCATATCTCGAGAATTAGTGAGCTTTAAAGCTTTAACTGTATGTTTATTATTGTTTTCTTTATAAATATATTTTGTTTCTTTACAAAAGTTTTAAGAGTTGTAAAGTGTGATAAGTCCAGGATACTAAAGTATGTTTACTTAATTTCTTTCTTTTTTTTCTTCTGTGATCTGTGAAATAGTTTGAATCTATGAACAGCTAAACATCATTATTAGGAATTTTATGGCAAAGACCTCAATTGACTAGTGGATTTTAGTGATTGAGTTTTTAATGTTAAGAAGTTCATAAACGAAAAAAAATGTTTTTTTAAGCAGTCAGTTTTTGAAACTGTTCTTATTTCAGTACCTGATTACGATTTATCTTCTGTTGCTTGGGAAAGAGATCAAAAAGTTACTAAGAAACTTAAAAAGTTCCTTTTTTATCTCTGTTTCTCATTTTTTTTTTTAAATTTGCTTTATATGAAAGAGCTGGATTGTTACTTTATTTAACTACTCAAAAGAATGCTTGTTTCAGGGGTGATTGTATTCCAGGACTATCCCGGAATTCTGTATGTGATTTTCGCTCTAATATCGTAGAATTCCACGTATCTTGAGAATAAGAAGCTAATAATTCAATAAAATTTTAAAGCTTTTACTAAATCTCATTAGTCAAACTTTTGGATACATTCTTCTGCCAATTACAGGGAGAATTACGAATATTTTTGTCCGCCAATTTAATTCTTTTAATTTGGCAGGTTTTCGCCATTTTGTATGATTGGAACTGTATCGGATTATACTAATATCATGATTCTTATTCATGTGAGTGTAATATCAAACATAAGTTTTTTGTATTTACCTCATTTAAAAGCTATACTTTGCGATTCGTATTTATCCCAGTTCACGTGATTTAATAAAGTCCAATATCGCAACTTGTCTGTACGCATTTTTAAAATCCAGTATTACGATTCGTATTTACACATTCAAAAAATTCAGTGCCACAAGTCGTATTTGTGCTTTTGTAATATCAAATATCGATTTTACCATTTATTCATGATTTAA